CAACTGCCAGAGGGGAGAGCTTCGAGGGGGCCTGTGATGGTTCACATCTTCGAAAGTCTTCACAGAGCGCCCCGCAAGATCGCGCCTGAGACCCAGAAGCGCATTGCAGAATATTTCGCCTTCGCGCTCGTTTTCTCGGGCCAGGGCGTCCGCTGCCAGACGGCCCGAACGACTGGCGCGCCTTTCGAGGGCCGCAAATGCGATCGATTCCGCGCTTCTCACTCGCAAGCAATCTGGCGGCGGGGCCTGCCCTGGGCGCGCGCGAGCGCGCGCTCCATCGCAATGGGCCGAACGCCGCCCGACCGCATAGGCATGCAAGCGATATGAGAGGCCCGCCGCGGCAACTTCGAAGCAACCTCCACGAAAATGAGAACGTCCAAGAACAATTCCACAGCGTCGCCCCCCAGCTGATTCAGCTGCGGCGGGCGGAGCACGCAAGAAACGCCTCAATCGCCTTCGGGGAAGCGCCCAGGACAGCCCTCAAACGGGAGACAGTGGGCCGCCCAGGCCTCTCGTCAATATCTGATGGCCACTTGGGGCCGCCATGCCACCCCCCAACCTTCCACCATCTACTCCACCCCTATTGAATCATGCCCATTTGCTTTGGGTGGTCGCGCGGTCGACGCGGCGCCCCCCTGCTTTTGCCCGGGGGCCCATCGGGACCTCGGTTGTCTGATGGGGATCTCGCGCCCCGCCTGCAGCTTGCAAGTCGACCCGCCCGTGAAAGAAAACAAAACAAACCCTGCCTCTTGACCTCGCCCCCATCGGCCATCCCCAGGGGCAACTCCATGACCTTGACGACCGCGGGCAAAGGTTCCGGCGGCGATGCGCCGCCATGCTCGGGAGGGCGCGCCTTGCCAAACGGGCGCCAGACTCCAGCGCCACCATCTCCTGCATCCGCGCGCGCAAGAGCTCGACCCGGCAATCGCCGCAGAGCACGCGCAGCCGAAGTCCGAACGAGCAGCCGGTGCACCGTCGACGCAAAAATCAAGCTAGCCGTGAATCGTCGAAGTCATATCACCCCTGGAGAAACCCTTAGAAACTCCGGGGCCTTCGGGGCAAATGCAGAGACCCGTCGAACATCCGAAGGGCGCTCCCAACCGTGATATTTGCTGGCCTCCTTCCCAGCATCATAATGACAGAAGCCTCAATCTCAGCATGTCTGATTGACGACTTCCTGGCCGTCGCGAGCCCCATCTTGGGCGCCTCGCTCTGAGCCCCAAGACCCCGCATCTCCCGGAGCGGAGCCTCCGCCTGATCTCGAACTTCCCCCCGCCGCCCAGAGCGATCCGGTCGACTTGGAAAGGTCCAGGCGCAAGCGCAATCCGCGCGTGGGGCCTGGCTGCAGCAAGGGGGAGATGCAGGCGCACAGGCGCGTGCACATGCGAGCGAATCTGCGCGTCAAGTGGTGCCTCGACGCGTTCGACGCGAAGCTGGTTGAGCACCGCGCAGAAATCAAACGCGCGCCCACTGAAACGGCAGCACCATCATGACACCACATCGCTGCGCCGAAGAAGTTCCATATCCGACTCGCGATCCTCATCAGGAATACAACGCCAATGATGTGCGGCAGCTGGAAACCACGCGAGAGTTTCACCACGCACATCAAGCAAGGTGTCACTGCTGGACTTCATGCCTTGGCCTGAGACGACGTGCAAATCGACCCCTAATGTGCCGTGCTGGCGAACCTGCTGCGACCAGACACATCAACATCACTGGGCATTGACTCCACGCGAGCCACGCCGTGAATGCATGGCGTCACGGTGACCAGTCCACCATGTCCATGGACTGGAACCACATTTGATGCCGGTGACGAGCGCGCATTCTAACCCAACGGTGGCATGCAAGATGAAACCCTGGAACCAGCAAAGCGCTAACACTCTTGATCGCACCCTGATCCAGTATGACCTATACATGCCCGAATGCGCATTCACGGTCGTCCTCACAATAATCAAACTACTAAACGCACACGGGCCCCCCTTGCAAGGCTGCACGCAACTGCTGGAAGAGGCAGCGAAGCGACCAGGATTACCTCTTCACAAGCAAACCCCTTATCAACCCAAACGGCGGCAAAAATATCCCTAGTCGCACCGGCGTCTGTCGCGTCGCGCTTGACCTGATCTGCCCACAGATGATCGGTGAAATCGAGAATGCACTCTTCATCATCCAATCCAAACTCACCATCGCCCGGCTCGACAGGACCATCTGCTACATGTCCAGGGCCTGGGCGCAGCAGCAGCTCCTCCCTCTCCCGCTCCAGCGGCACGGGCGGGCGCGGGGGCTGCAGGGGCGGGCGGCGGGCGCAGCGCTGCCGACAAAGCCTTGAGCGGCGCCTCGAGGGCGCCCAGGGCCCCCTTGCCGTGCCTGCCCCGGCTCCTCGTCGAGCTTCGCAGCGAAATGGACCGTTCCCTGGGGCGGTGCCGCGGGGGCGGGCATGGCCTGGCCCACCCTCCCTGCAGCCGCCGCCCGAGCCTCCTCCGCAGCGTCCGAACTTCTCCTTTAAAACGACGAATCTTGACGCGATGTTCATGGAACCAAACAAAAACATCACGTACGATTTGATCCTTCCTAGCAAGGGCTCCCTGAACATCCAGGACCACCTGTGCCTTGCAGTGCACCTCTGGCCGGGCACTCCTGAGCTGCTGCATCGTGGTGAAGCTAACGATTCCCACTTCTGCCTCCAGTGTAGACCCACGAGCTTGTCGAGCGCGGACTGATCCAACGCCATACAGCCCCACCCTGACGCAGCCGACCTTGCCCTAACCTGATACAGGCCCTGTCGACACTGCGCCAAGGCTAACCCGAACCATTCAAATTAACAACGTGGCCAACGGCTCGGGGACACCAGTGTGTCACGCGCACGCGGCGTAGCACATGATACACCAGACTGGGGCGACACAGGAGCGCCAGGGCGAGCGCGAGGACGGGGTACTGACTCGTCGTGGGCCCGCCGTCAGCGCCCCCCGCCTGCCGCCGCCCAGCCCGGACAGCAGCTCCAAAGCCCAGCACTGGGGTCCAGCCAGCAGCATCACACAAGCCACGAGGAAGCAGCACCAACGCCACCAGCAGCTCCACTAGAACCAGCACGACGGGAACCAGCAGCACCAGGCGATCCGCGCTGGACTGCGGGAGCCCCCCCACCCCGCCCACCGGCGAGGCCGGCGAGGGGAGAACCGCCCCATCGACCCAGCGCAAAGCGTCACGGCCCAAATCGTTCGATTTTGCGATGGGCACCGAGGGCGCCCCAGACAAAGATGCGCAGTCCGGCCGTGCGAAGATTGGCTGGGAGGTGCGAGCCCCGACAGCAACTGCTGATCTGCCCAAGCCCGATTGGCAGTCGCTCCCAGGGGGAGGGGTTGCGCCAGACGGGGCCTATGGCAGCAGCGCTACCCAGGACGGCCACGGCGAGGGCGAGGACGGGGTAATGGCTCGTCGTGGGCCTTCAATCAACGCCGGCCGCCTGCTGCTGCCTGTCCCAACCGGCAGATCCAACACCCAGCACCAGCGCCCTGCCCGGCCAACGACCTGGCCAACAGCGGCCCCTAAGCAGCGCACTCCCACCGTCGTCGTCCAGGGCGTCCAGCGGCTGCCGCGACTGCAATAATGCAACCAACCCTAGCGCCGCTGATAGCACCTCTGTGACCATAACGACAGCAAGCAGCACCACCACGCACAGCAACACCAGCGCCATCATGTGCAGCGTTGTGACGAACACGACGGGAAACAGCAGCGCTAGGCGCAGCACCACTAGAGCCACCAGCACCACCAGCGCGACCAACACGACTCACGACTAGAAGCAGCCGAACAACGCGCCCCAGCACGAGCGCAACCAGCAGCTAACGTGTAACCATAAAAACGGTAACTGGCAGCACAAGCGTAACAAGCAGTACCACTGTGACCAGCACGACGGGAAACAGCAACACTACGTCAAACAGCCCAAGCCCAACGAGCAGTACCAGTGTGACGAACATCACCAAAAACAGCAGCCTTCCGCGGAGCAGCAGCACCAGTGTGACAAGAACGAAGGGAAGACGCACCACAACCAGTAGCACTACAGGCGCCATGGGCAGCACCACTGCGCCCAACCAGACGGGAAGCACCAGCACTACGCGCGCCAGCACGAGTGCATCGAGGACTACCACTGAGGAGCATCGCTGGAAGAAACACCACTGTGACCAGCACGAGGGAGATCAGCATCACCATGCGCAGCACTACTGGCGGCACCAGCAGCACCAATATGACAGGCAAAACTTTCACCAGTATCACAACGCGAAACAATACAAGCGGCACCTTGGCATCAACTTGCCTCGGACGGGGTCGTGATCCGGAAGCTTGCGCAGTCCACAAGTTTGCGAGGCTTCGTTTTCTCCTGCGACGCCCATGGCGCTCGCAATCAAGATGTGGCAGGCGCCCCAGCGATGGTGCAGCCTATGATCAAGGCGAGAAGGGCATTCGCAATCAACGGCGCCGACGGCGCCGAAGCGGCAGCATTCCGAATCGAGAGCACAGCCCGCACTGAGGCAAGACCAACAATCGCAATCATGCGCGCGGCCGGCGCCCACGACCTGGGTGAAAGCAGCATTCCGAGTCGAGAGTGCGGCCCGCGTTGAGGCGAGAACAATTATCGCAATCATGCGTGCGACCAGCGCCTTTGCGAAAGCAGCAGTGTCAATCAGATGTGGCCAATACCGCAGCAAGAACGACATGCTCAGTGAAAAATGTGGTCGACGCCTGGGCGACATCCACATTGTTCATCAGACATGTGACCGGCGCCTTAGCGAGAACGACATGCTCAACGAAGATGTGACTGGCGCTTGCGCGACAGCAGCATTTTCTATCCGACATGTGAGAAACGCCACAGAGAGGATGCCGTCGGCGCCGAAGCACCAATTACATGTTCAATTAAGCATGTGGCCTGCGCCAAGGCGAGAACGATATGCTAAATGAAGGATGTCGCCATCGTCTCGGCGACAGCCACATTTTCAATCCAGAATCTGATCAGCACCAAAGCGAAAACGACATGATCAATGAAGGATGTCACTGGCGCATTCGCGAGAGCAACATTTTCAATCAGACAAGGGGCACACGTTCAGACGAGAACATCACGTTCAATGAAACATGTCGCTGCCACCTAGGCGAGAGCAATATTTTCAATCAGATATTTGGCTGGCGCCAAAGCGAGAAAGACATTCTCGATGTGCCCAGGCGACAGCAATATTTTCAATCAGAGACGCGGCCCACGCGCAAGCGAGAACAACACGTTCAATGAAGGATGCCGCCGGCGCCTAGGCGAAAGCAACATTTGCACTCAAAGATGTGGCCCGCGCGCAAGCGAGAACGACATGCTGAATGATGTCGCTGGCGCCTCGGCGACAGCCACATTTCCAATCCAAAATCTGGCCACCGCCAAGATGAGAACAACACGATCAATGAAGGACGTCGCCGGCGCCCAGGCGACAGCAACATTTCCAATCAGAGATGTGGCCCACGCACAGGCGAGAACAGCACGCTCAATGAAGGATGTCGCCGGCGCCCAGGCGACAGCAACATTTTCAATCAAAGATGTGGCCCACGCACAGGCGAGAACAACACGCATGTTGTCGGCGCCTAGGCGAAATAACACTTTCAATCCGAGATTGGCCCACGCACAAGCCGGAACACTATTCCGACACAAGCGTGTCGCCAGAGTGCTGATGTCACACCCATTCCGCGCGGGCTGGGCTCGGTGTCACAGAGGTCTGGACTACGTTAGGTGGGTAGTCTACGTTGGGGGGGAGGGGTTGTACTGGCGGCCGTGAACTGAGCATCAGACGTTTGCAACCGCGGCGCCTGCTGCTCGGCAATGAGTGCCTGCTTGTGCTTGGGCCTGTCGACAGCTTTGGCGGCATCGCCCTTGAACTGAGGCAGACCGTTGGCCCACTGATCCAACACCATGCTGGCGGCCGTGAGCTGAGCATCAGACATTTCCAACCGCGGTGCCTGCTGCTCGGCAGTGGGTGCATGCTTGTGCTTGGGCCTGTCAACAACTTTGGCGGCCTCACCCGTGAACTCAGCCGGACCGTTGGCCCACTTTCCTTGACCAGGCTGAGATACCCAAGGAGGAAAAGCAGCACCAACATTTGGATTACTCTGAATACCTTCGCAGCTTTGGGGTGACCAATAGTACGGGGGGGGCCCTCTAGTCCGGGGGGGGGGGCCCTCTAGCCCGGGGGGGGTCCTTGGAGTCTGGGGAAGGGACCCTTGTCATCTGGGGAGGGGGGCCCTTGTAGTCTGGAGGGGGTCCTGTAGTCTGGGGGGGGGGATACGTTGATCTTCGTGGGTCGACGTTCCGCTCGACGACGACGACGACCACGACGACGACGAATACCACGACAACGACGACGACGACGACGACGACGACGGCGACGACGACGACGACGACGACCACAACCATGACGACCATGACGACCACGAACGCCACGACGACCACGACGACGACGACGACCACGACGACAACGACGACGGGCGCGGCAGAGATGCGACTGTAGCGCGCTCGGCAATTCCTGAGGCCAGGCAAGGTGGCGGCTGTTGCGCGCGTGGCATCAACTTGGGAGGAACGGATGCGTTGCGTTTGCGCGGGCCACAATTTCGCACATCAGGGACGCAACTGACTGGCGGGGGTTGCACGCCTGGCCGCGCCGACCCATCGAGCGCGAAGGGAATTATCATTAACTATTCGTAGCACTTGTGCTGGAAGGGTGCCTGAAGTCCGGGGGTGGGTCCTTGTAGTCCGGGGGGGGGGTCCCTGTATACTAGTATACAGTCGGGGCGCTGACCTAAGGAACCCCAAATAAGGAACGAGGCCCCTTTTCTCCAGAAGGTGAACTCGATTTCCCTTCGAAAACCGAAGGAAAACGCGGGGCAAACTGTGAAATTATTAAGGAACACGGAGCCCCTACCCAACGAAAAGAGTTCCTTCTTCAGCGCCCCGACTGTAGTCTGGGAGCGGGGCCCTTGTAGTCCATGGGGGGCCCTGGTAGTCTGAGGGCCGGGGGGGTCCTCGCAGTCCGGTGGAGGGGCGCCTGTAGTCCGGAGAGCCCCTGTAGTTCGGGGCCCCGCAAACCATTGAGGTGCTCAGGGTATGACTTTGACAACCTGCTTGGCGGCACTTCGCTCGGAAACCAAAACTGAAGAAGCCACACGCTGCACAATTCCACCCATTGCTCTGCCTGGCTCCTCCTCCTCCTCCTCCTTCTCCTCCTCCTCCTCCTCCTTCCCCTCCTCCTCCTCCGCGGTGCGCACCATCACCCACTCCAACTGAATATTGTCCAGGCCGCCAGGCGAAGCCACAAAGCGACCGCTGAGCGCATTCCATAAGTATGGGTTGTCACAACCATTGCTCGTCATACTGAAAGTCATGGGAAAATTCGTGATACCATCCATTGCTTGCCACGCGTCGTCTTGGCCCAGGACCATGTATTGAAGTGTCCCGAGCCCTTCGCTTGGACCCAACAGCCACGACACCTCCAAACGAATACGCACCCAGTATGGAGTAATTCTTACCGAGGGCGAAGCGCTGGGGTCGGTTGAAAGCCACAAGTTCATGTCAAGAGATTTTGTGATTGAGACTTGCACGCACGTCGTAGCAGCAGAGGTGTCGCTCTCCATCATCCCCAGTCCGAAATGTCCTCCCCAATCTGGTGTCCTCCAATCGTACTCGAGTGTCAACTTGTCGATGCCTGCTGAAATTGGAAGAGGCTCGCCTGTTTGAAACCTCCGGTAAAAGTAATTCTGGACGCCAGCTCCTGTATAGGGGTACTGCGCACATAGACTGGAGTCATAACCGAACGTCGCTACCTTCATGACCATGGACGCGCCGGCGATAGAGTGGATAGGTACCCACCAGCTGTCTTGGCCATTGAGAGATCCCTCCGACAACTCGTTGAATGTGTAGGTCCATGGAGACGTTGCCAACGCTCGGCCGCTCGCGTTGGATGCCGCACGCCTTCCCGCTGCGGGCTTGCGTGCCTCGGGCACCGGCGCCTGCGCCGACAGAGTGCCGCTCGTGCTGGCAGCCAGCGTGGGCTCTGCCGTCGCCGGCGCAGGCTGCAGCGTGGCCGACGCACGGCGCGGCATCGCCTGCGTCTCCTCCTCCTCCTCCTCCTCCTCCTCCTCCTCCTCCTCCTCCTCCTCCTCCTCCTCCCCTCCCCCCCCCCCTCCCCCTCCCCCTCACCCCTCCTCCTCCACCTCCTCCTCCCCCTCCTCCTCCTCCTCCTCCTCCTCCTCCTCCTCCTGCGTGATGCACCGCAGCACCTCGGGCGCAGAGGAAAACGACAGCTGCATCCGCTGGGCTGAGGGAGCCACCGCCACCAGCGACCCCCCAGGGCCGAAGCCGAGCCCCCGGCGGTGACAACCAACCGCCGCGCGGCGCCCGCTATTCGGGCGCCGCGCGGAGGTCATCACCGTCGGGGTTCGCGGTCGGCCCCGGGGGGCCGCCATAGGCGGCTCCCTCGTCCCACGGTTGTTGTCGCCTGTTCTTCGCTCATGAACACCTGCAGCATCAACAGATTGAACATCAGGAGCGTCCGCGCTGCCGGGCCTCCATCGGCGGCGGGCCAGGGGGGGGGGAAGTCAGAAGGGGCGGCACTTCTCAGAAGGCTCAGAAGGCCTGGGAAGTGTCCTCAGCCCTCCCCGAAGATGCAAAGAACCTCTCATAAGGCGCGAGGGCTTTTGAGAGGTCACCGCCGCCTTCTGAGAAGGCCTTCTCCTTCGCACTTCCCCCCCTCGCTCGCCGCCGACTCCGCCAGCAGCCGCGGCGCATGCGTCCTGGGGGCCGCCGCGGCCGGCGGAGCGCGTCGCGAGCATGCCTTGCGGGCCCCCGCCGGCAGTGCAGCGCCCCTGCGCCTCCGTGTGCTGCGCGCGGAGAGCCCCCCGCGCTCCTGAGCCAGAGCGGCCACGGCGGCGTCGTGGCACCCTCCTTGGGGGCGTGCAGCAGGCGTGGTGCCAGCTGTGTGGTGTAGGCCACGTCTTCCAGCCTGAAACATGTCCCTATCCCTATGCTGGGCATCTCCTCATCACGATGCCAATCTCAGGAATTCCCTTAGTTTTTCAGGGCGCATCCCTAAGCTTGTCATCGCCTTTTGCCGTGTCAATCTTAGGGATAAGGGTAAGTTCGAGGCTGGGGAACGTCGTGGTGCAGGTTTCAGTGGCACAGACTGTGCAGCGCGGCCGGTGTGGTGCAAGCTGCCCGGCCGCCCACGAGACGCAAACGGCGGCGCCCGCAGGCGGGCACCCGGCGCCACCTCGGCACACAGGGGGGGGGGCCCTTCCACGAGAAGCCTTCCGCGAGAAGCCCAACCCCGAGACCCCAGAGAGTCCACTGCCTCCACAGAGCAAACCCATCGGAGCCCAAGAGACCCTGGGCGCCCTGGAGGCGAGCAGGGTGCTTCTTGGCATTGGTCTCCAGTGTACCATTAGGTCGAGCATGACCTCCTACAGGCGGTTGTTGGAGGAAAATGCGAAAAAGAGTCCAACAATATTCCAACATGATCAAATTACACAAGAGGAAAGCCCAAGCAATGGATGGTTTGATGAGATCGATGGTGAGATCGATTGAGTGAGATGCATAATGAGATCGATTATGATATCGAAAATGCATCCTGAGATCGATCAAAATATCGATAAGGAGATGGACCGGGAACCAGGAACCCACCGAAATCGGCCCGGAACCAATACCCAGGAACACGGGAACCTGGAACCGGGAACCCAGGAACCCAGCCGGCCACAAAAATCGGCGGGCAACTCTCGCCAGTCTTTCAGCTGGGACCCCTTCAATGCAAGCGCTTATTGGGGAGCATCGTCAAAAAACCGTCCCCAGCCCATATCTGTACTAGTTTGGAATACTCCTCCTGTAAAGGCACAGGCCCGACTTGACGGGGCGACCACGAGGCGCCCACGGGCGGGCACCCCGAGACACCCCTCCGCACGCCCCCTCCGGCGCGGGGCGCTCGCGAGGCGTCGACGGGCGGGCACCGGGCGAGACCTCGGGGCACGACAGCCCGCGGCGAGTTCGCGCGAGCGCTGGCGCAGAGTGTGGTCGCGGTCCCCGCTTCCCGAGTCAACGCCCGCGGCAGGTGTGCGTGCCACCCCCGGGGGGCAGCGTGGGCGCGGGCTGTCACAGAGTCAGGGCCCCACTCCTCCTCCCCCTCCTCGTCCTCCTCCTCCTCCTCCTCCTCCTCCCCCTCCTCCTCCCCCTCCTCGTCCTCCTCCTTCTCCTCCTCCTCCTCCTCCTCCTCCCCCTCCTCCTCCCCCTCCTCGGACGTACCTGGGGGATGAATGGGTCTGCTCCATCACACCTGCGGGGCGCCTACCGCCACAGCTGGTACCTCACAGAGGAGGCCAGAGCGCGGGCGCGGGATTCAGGAAGATGGTCAAGCTCGGCCCTGTGAGCGTTGATCCCTCCTCCTCCCCCTCCTCCTCCCCCTCCTGCTGCTCCTCCTCCTCCTCCTTCTCCTCCTCCTCCTTCTCCTCCTACTCCCCCTCCTCCTTTCCTTCTCCTTATAGATAACTTCTCCCTGTCGCACCCCGAGGTCAGCTTTGAGAGCGGGTCGGACGTTTCGCCTGAGACTTCCTCACCTCCGATGACTCTCAAGCTTAAAAAGTGGCAATCGCTTCACAGATGGAGGGCGGGTCGTTTTCACAATATGGCTCTCGCCTTAGCGCCGCGCACATTCATTTAAGACATTGGAAGAGCTTCGCGGATTGAGGGCGGGTCGTTTTCAAACTGTGGCTCTCGCCTTAGCGCCACGCACATTCGTTTGAAACATTGCAAGAGCTTCACAGATGGGGGGCGGGTCGTTTTCATCATGTGGTTCTCTCCTTCGCGCCGCGCACACTCTTCATAAACATGTGCAAGGAGTTTCACGGATTGAGGGCGATTATGTTTCAAAATGTGGCTCTCGCTTCAGCGCCGCGCACATTCTCTATACATCTTTGCAAGACTTTCACATATTCCCTTGATCAACGTACCAGAAATGGTGTTCTGGAAGGACTCAGGATTATGCGGGCGCAGCAGTTACGTTGATTCGCTGAGTTGAAGTCTCAAACATGGCGTTCTGGCACGATTCCGGATTGTCAAGGCGTGGCAGTCAGGATGATACGTGGCGTTGAAATCCCGAAAGCCATGTTTTGGTACGTTTAAGGATCTTGAAACGGTTGTCTCCCAACGAACAGTTCCCTCAATGGACATGAACCGCTGTAGGGGCCTATGAAGAGGGAGCTTGGAGGGAGGGTTTACTCCAACATCGTTGATGACTCTTGGGCTTACACTGGTCCTCCTCCTCCTCCTCCTCCTCCTCCTCCTCCTCCTCTCATGAGGGTGGAGCGCGGATACGCGGCGACGAGTGACCAAGGCCTACGCTGTCATGGTAGGAGCTTGCGTGCAAGTCTCGCGCTGTATGCTACAGGATCCGCAGGCCACGACAAACTTCTGGATCGGCGAGCCGACGCGCGAAGCCTCGGCTTGTAAGGGGCGTGGAGTCAGACAGGCCATGGCTCAAGAAAAAAAATCAAAGTTACAAAACACACATAAACGCATTACCAACATAATTGCTAAACAAAATTGCAAACGAACTTGTGCGCCCCAAAAACCCTCTGGAACCCCCAGCGAATTAGAAACGAATTCCACAAGAAATTCCGGACACATATTAGGTCACAGAAGAACGCATGGAAGCGAATTGCACGATAAGTCCAACGTAAGTTCCTTTGGGCGGTGGAAAGCGCTGTGCTGATGCTGCTGGAACGAGAACTGCGACGAGAATGTGAGCGTTTATGTATTCTGGGTTTCGTCATTTGGCGCAAGGGGGGGAGGGGGGGGGGGTCCGGCTCTCGTCCCCTAGTCAATACCTCCGATTGAATCATCTTGAAATTTTCAACATAGCTTAACATTCAATATTTGGGCCTCATGAGGCGTGAAACTGGTAAACAAACTCATTCGAACAATTACAATACAACGCAAATATTTATGAAACTTATCGATTGTGCGGGGCTGTGCCAGGATTACTATGGATCACATATTCATGATTCCACAAGGACGTCGGTGGCATAACAGGGGAGGGCCCAACCGGAGGCATGCTTTTTGGCGATCGGGTCCGGCGCCCCTGAGCCCTTTCGTTATGGTTCCAGAAGAATAGCAGGAAAAGTTCGCACAGTTGCACACATCAACGATTCGAGTTTCTACGGGGGGGGGGGGGGCGCCGGCCCCCGTAGTTCGTCCGATCGACTGAAGCAGGTGCCAAAATCAGCCCATAACTTCTCTACGGGGGGGGGGGGGGGCGGGGGGTTCCGCCGAAAGCAAAAAAAAATAATAAAAGAACGATCACAATTGCACGGCTTCGAAGACCCAAACCAAGTGTTTCCCATGCCTTTCCGGGCTGGCTCCCGTGATCTCTGAGGTGATTCCTGCGCCTCATGTGGACGTTGTGCCCATCCCAAAGCGACTTCCTGGACCCTCCCAAGAGTCCAAGAGGGCCCCGAGTCGCCGAACGATCGATGCCCAAGATGGCCTCAAGATGGCCCCAGAGCCCTCCAAGACGCCAGAAGAGGGCTCCAAGAGACCGCCCTACAGGGCCCCAAGAGGCAAGCATCATTGATTTCCTTTTTGTGTTCGCAGGATGTTGGCGTTCTCGCCGTTTCGGATTTCCGACGCTCCAAGGCGGCCCCAGGAAGCCCGCAAGACCACCCCAAGACTGTCCAATATGCCTCCAACAGGGCCCCAAGGCTGCCTAAAAGCGCCCCAAGACGACCCAAGAGGACCCCAAGACGGCCCCGAGAAGGACCCAAGAGAAGGAACACGAATCGAACATCCGAGCTTTCCGCCCCAGGACGCCCCCAGGAGGCCCCGAGGCGCCCAAGAGGCCCCATGAGGCCCCCCAAAAGCCCCTAAAGGGCCCCGGAGAGGCCCCACAACAGTCCCCATGATGCCTCAAAACTGCCTTCAAGAGGCCCCGAGAGGCCCCCCCCATGAGATCCCAGCGAACATGCAATAGGCGTTATACCCACAACCCAGGCACGGTGGCGGGATGGGCCGAAGGCCATTCGACAATTTCCTCTGGTCGCCCCAAGAAAACATGGGCAATTGTCCAGAGAGAAACCAGTTCCTAACTCTTTGCAACTGTGCCCGAAAGCGCCTGCTGTCTGCTTCGCCTGCTGCAAGCCCTGGCCTGCACGTCGCAGAAGGAGCCACGGACGCGGTCGGCACCATCGCGGGGGTAACGTGCCAAGGGAAGGGCGACATCCTTAGCTTTAAGTCGGGCGTGTCCCCCTACAGGGGGATCTATCCACGAAAAATATAAAGCATACTCAACAAATGCTCCAAAATGGTCAAACAAAAATACTAAAACAAATCCCCTGACTATTTCTTGACTACTTTTGAAAACTCCCCCTGTCGAAGGACGGGCCCGACTTAATTAACCTTAGCCGCGAGAGCGCGCGCGCACGGGAAGAACACCCACCCCGACGCCCACAGCTGGCGCCTGCCGCAGAGCCCTGGGCGCCTGCTCGGCAGCCCTGCCCTGCTCGAGCCCTGCTCGAGGCCCCCCTCGCCGGGTGCGCTGCTCACTGCGGGGTGCCTCGCTCGTCGGGGTGCTTCTCTCGCCCTCGCTCGGACGTCCATTCCCTGTGCAGTTTTCGATGTCGTGCGTGTGTTTTTTTTGCTCGATGGTCCAGGATCGTCCTTGATGGTTCTCGCCGAGAAAAATGCACACGTCCGAGCGATGCCAGGCTTCTTGCAGTGCACGCGCCTAGAAAGGATGCACGATGGGGGGCGCGAGGGCCTTGGAAGGCCATGCCGACGCCTGTCGAGCGGGGCGCGGCCAGCGAACGTGGCCGAGCGTGAGCCGAAGGGGAAAGGATGCAAGGGTACCTTGGGAAGGCGCTCATCGTTGCTAT